AAATTTAAATTTCGACCCCTGATTTTGAAAAATTCTTTTGTGATTTTAGGAAGGGAATGCGCCCAAAACTTCCAGTGGTAAGTTGACTCATCTGGCATGGTATAGTACTTCATGTAGGAGCTTCTATGGCGCACTTTCACCTGTGAGTTCGTGGTTTCGATTCTCGCTACGGACTCATGCAAAAAGAGGTCCGTCAACGCTCTGCCGAATGTCGTGGGTTTTCTTCGGGTGCTCGGGTTTCCTCCCACAGGGAAAGTTGACAGGGTGGGTTGGGATGAACACGGTTAAGAAAGCAATATCACAATAGACAATTCCATCTATCGACTATATTTTTTATCTAGACAAGAAAGACGAAATCTATCATTATAGCTCAAAAGAGCATCCTAAAATTAGTAAAACTGCAAAATTTGGTTGCGAAATGTTGTAAAATACGGAAAATATGGCCCGGTGAAATTAGCAAATTTTGAGTATTTTAGTATTACGCGCGGGAAAAATAACCAGTTTCGGCTCAAAAATGGTAAAATACGAAAATCACAAAATTTTCAATTTATTCCCTTTGCCAGGCAATTTTCGTTTTTAGATGGCTTTTGTTTAGCATGTGTTGTTCCAAGATCAAGGTTACAGCCGAGACCGGTCTGAAATGTATTGGTCCGAATTAACATGCCGGTCTGAAGTCAGTCGGCTCGGTCCAGCAGGCGGAATGACTTGAGACTGGTCTGAGTTATTTTCGTCCCGGTCTTATATGTAAAAAAAAAATATAAATAACACTATGATCGAAACGAAACGGTCCCGGTTTGACTTCGTTCCAGTCTCATGTAAACCTAAGGGACCGGTCATTATTTATGGCGGGGGGTGGCACCGAAGAGAAAAGGGTTGGGTAAACAAAATTTTGAGTGAGTAAAAGGTTGGGTAAATGAAAAACGAAACAACTCAAAGGTTGGGTAATAAAAATTTATTGTCATTTCCAAAGCATGACTCACTCAAATATTGAAGACTGAAAACTTCAATGTCAACAATCATACGTGAATACAATATGTGAATCAATCGGAGCATATAGACAGTCCAGAAGACAGTCCTTGATTGTCTATGCTCTGATTGTCTGGCATGTCTTCTGGATTGTCTATGATCAGAGTCACTATCTTGATCATTTTCCGATTTGTTGGGAGACAAATTAATGGTGTCTCCAAAGAAAGTAGATGTGCAGACAACATGAAACTTTAGACTGCAGAAAAGTCAGTAAATTTCACAAGCCGAACGTTATCAAACTCGTATCACAGAAGTGATAAAGGACATGTGTGACAACTGAATGACATCCTTTTGTAACGTTTTTGGCCAGGGGTTGGTATTTATTTTTTAAATGATACTTGAGGTTGGGTAATCAATTTTTTTATTTGGGTCTGCAAAATTTTTGGCACGACAACCATTTCTCTTCGGTGCCACCCCCCACCCCCCACCCCCCATAAATAATGACCGGTTCCTTTAAAGATAGCGAGAAATAGTTCCAAAAACCTTTTTTAACAATACGTTGTTTTTTTTAAATAGTTGGCTGGAGACGAAGACCAAACCACAGCAGATTACATTCACATGGGCCAATTATCGAACACGGGTGAATACCACCCTTTGGACAAGGAAGAGCCTCTCGAGCAATTGGCCACGTGACGGTGAGGTTAGTGGATACTTTATGTTAGCGATATCATTGGGTCTCAGTCCCATCACGCCATCTTCCCATTTTGATTACCAGTAAACGTGAAATTTGGCGGTGAGAAAATACGATTATAGTCTGGCATAAAGAATTGGTTTATATATATGGACTCCGAATAACAATGCTATATATTTATTTGATGAAAACACATCAGTTTCAAAATGAAACTGTGTTAAAACTGTACATAGAAATCCTTCGGTCGGACGTAGGATTTTTTCGGCAACATAATTCATCGACCCATATACCATGGCATCGTTTTTTTTTCGCTATCGGAACATTTGAACTATATGCAGTTGAAGATTTTCCATAATTTTGGTACTCCGTCGGTTCGAGCCTTGCTAGGCCGTGGACATTTTTAATAATTGTAGCCGAATATTATTACCTGCTATGTAAATATAATATCTGTGATATGTGTTTGTTTAGTATACTCAAAACACTACGGTTTAATAATGTAAATAAATGTATGTATATACATAGTTACTTGCAATTAGTTAAAATGTAAGAATATAGTCATGTAAATTAGAATATCTTTAAGTTGTATTAATTAATTTGAATTTTTTAAAAGTAATGTTACACTTCGATTTCTGAATCAACAGCTAGCTAGCATCGACCATCGTTCTGTCCCCGTATAGGCTTAGTGACTACATTTTAATATGAGTTTGTTCCTATATACCTAGACCTCCGAATGGCTTATATTCATTAGCAAGCATTTTTTGATGGGCTTATACATGGGGGCCGGGCGGACTTATATGCGGACGGCATTTGATCTTAGTAATAATATTTATTGTATACCTGTAAACTACCGTGAACGAAAAGAAATATAAACATACAGTCAGGGTTTTTTTCAGGGATTTTTTAGGGCGTTAAACGGCCCCAAAAACTCAATCTTGAATTGAGTTTTGAAACTCAATCTTCTCACCAAAGTTTCAGTGCAGTAAAAATGAAGTTGTTTGAGTTAAATTCGCGACGTGTGGAAATTAGTTTCAGTTGGAAACCCGACAATTAAGAAAAAATGGCTGGAATTCATCTCACAACACAAGAAAAACTATGCATTCGCCATCTTTAACCAGTTTATAGTGTCCCTCAGTGCCCCTGCTTTAACACATTCCGTCTCAACTACATTTATTGAGTACAAGTGTCAGCCCCCGGTAGGGGGGGGATGCAGTCACCCCAGTTGTTCAGCTAAACTCAATCTTCTCTGCAAAAACGGACCCAAGAGAAAATCCTGAAAAAACCCTGACAGTATACATAATCTGTACATAAAACAAGTTGGTTAACATATTATAATACTCTAATGTAATTATTGTGATTGTCTGAGCTGTTGGAATCCCCATCGCTGCGTTAATAAATACCTGTCGAATAATAAGCCCGTGGGCTTTTACACGGAAGGGCTTATATCGGGGAAGGGGTTATACTCCGGGGTGGGGGGGAGGAGGCTCGTACCACAGTCTATTCGTGACATGTATTTCAGGGCGCGAAATAGCGGATGGAGGGTCACCTTGACCGGCCAACTCAATTTTAGCTCGGACATACCGAATTTCTGGCAGGAGTCAAATTATACAGATACAGAGATACAGATATTTCACAGCACACTCCCTATATCAGGGCTTTTCAGTGACTGGTTACATTATGAACAGATAGATAGAACCGGACTGACGTGAAGCAGACCGAGGTAGACTTTGAGCTTACAAATGGCGCTTGAGCAGCCGCTATTAGTCCGTACCTCATTAATGATCTGCCTCCAGACCTATGTGCCTAACCCACCCTGTCAACTTTCCCTGTGGGAGGAAACACGGAGTACCCGGAGAAAACCCACGACTTCCGGCAGAGCGTCGACTTTTACTCTTTTCACATGAGGACTGGGTTCGAGTCACATTGAGAAGTTCTCACTGAGCTGATTCGAACCTGCGGCCTTAGAGGTGAAAGGCAAGTGCGCTAGCCACACCGAAGCCCCTATGCAAAATTACCACTGTGATCACCAGTGGTGTCAAGTAACGAAGTAAATGTACTTCGTTACTGTACTTGAGTACTATTTTTGAGAAGTGAGCATGTAACAAAGTAAACTTTTTCTGGAGTACTTTTACTTGGAACGAAGTCGTTTTAAGAAGTAATGTTTTACTTCGCTATTTTTATTTTGTGGCGAAGTATTTCGTTACTAACTTTTGTTTAATTTTACGTGATTTATTCGTGATTTATATTAATTTTGGGACAGGTAATAGGACCTCTACATGCGTCTGGGATCTCTCGTTTGTGCCTTACTTATATAAGCATTATTTATTTAATGGATTTCTTATATCTTTAACGTGGTCTGCAAAGTAGACCATGCCGTGAAATATTGTATATTAGGTGCACGCATATATTGTGTGTGCTGTTTCGTGTCTTTTGTATGTCAATCCATTGAAGAAGCCCCCCCCCCTACACGCTACAGACAATAGTACTTTTACTTTTTACTTCAAGTATTTTTTTAAGAATACTTTGTACTTTTTACTTAAGTACGTTTGCCTTCAGTACTTTTTATTCTTACTCAAGTCGTTTTATTGTTAATTACTTCTACTTTTACTCGAGTACAAATTCAAAGTAATTTAGAAAATAATGTTTATTGTTTTTAGAATTCTGTTGTATTACATGCACTGTATTGTGTTTTGAGGAAATTAAAATACTGTGTGAAGCAGCCTGAAGTATAATATGATTTACAACATGAGCTCCACCTTTGAATTTACTATATGAGTAAATTCTTAAACACGTTCGAATTTATCATTATGATATGATTTTCAAGAAAAAAAGTTTTAAAAAGTTTTAAAAAGTTTTAAAAAGAAAAAAAGTTTAAAAAGTTAGATGTTCAAAAAAAATAAAAAAGTTAGATTAGGGTTAGTGGTTAGGGGTTAGGGGTTAGTGGTCAGTGTTGGGGTTAGTGTCAGGGGTTAGATGCCGCGAATTTACTGATTATGATAAATTCAAAATGTGCCGCGAATTTAATTAATCATAATGATAAATTCGGACGTGTTTAAGAATTTGCTCGTATAGTAAATTCAAAGGTGGAGTTCATGCTGAATATTTATAGTATGTATGAGCACGCTCTTATAGTTATATGCAGCTATTAAATCAGTCAAAAAAGGTTGGCCTTTGCAAACCCTAAACTCTAAATTAAACCTTCAACCTTAAACTCTAAGCGTGCAAAGCATGATGGGAGCATAATTTAATCAGTTTAGAAATCATATATGGGGCCATTTTTAGAGGCATGGTAAATATCTCCTTACGAGAACAATTCATTCACAAATAGCTGGATCAGTTTTTACCTATTCAACTACTAAGCTTGAAACTTGTGCTGCCATTAAGCTTTGCTCGCTTAGAGTCTCAGATTTAAGATTTAGAGTTTAAGGTTTGCAAAGGACAATCTTTTTTGAATTGGCTATATACCAAAACCCAGTAATATGTTCATAAGCATTTTTATGAGGACACTGGATTTTGGTATATATGAGGGCGCTCATGAGCGTTCCGGATTTTGGTAGATATATGAACGTGCTTATGAGAGGGCCCTGAAGGGGTAAAATGGGAACTGGGATTGTCTATATATAGACTGGGAAAATGGGATTTGGGTTGCTGGGACTGGGATTTGGCCACTGGGAATGGGAAATGAAGTCCTCAAAAATGGGAATGGGATTGAGGTAATGCGAGTCGATTCCCAATTTTTCTGCGTTTTGAGTATTTTAAAATACAATTTTGATCCGTTTTTGATGTCTTTGGTCATGATTTTTGTTGTTAACTATATTATTCACAGCACTACCTGCGAACAAGCATACTCTGGCGCCCGGAATTCTGGGTTTTCTGATTATGCGTGTCTCAGAATGCTGCAAATGCCATTTCCGGGATTCAAATTTTAAAATTTCCCGTGCCTTTGGCACGAGCCCCCCTAATAAATTGCCCGCCACTTGCTTAGTAGTAGTAGTAGAAGAAGTAGTAGTAGAACTTTATTTATCCACGCTGACCCCGTCAACCGTAGCTGATTTCCACGGGGGGCGTGTGCCAGAAAATTATTTTACATGCAGAATATGATAAGGATAAGCTAAGCTATTACAGTAATATATAAATTTAAAAGGTCTTAAAACTGTTTATTCTAACGATAAATAAAGGGTTTTTTATTGACTGGGATTTAAATGACTGGGACTGGGATTTCTAATAAAAATCCAACTGGGACTGGGATTTTGCCAAAATTTCAGGTGGGAAATGGGATTGGGACCCCCCATTCAGGACCCTCTTATGAGCATACCTTATTTTGGTATCTACAGTACCGTATCTCATGAGCGCGCTCAAATATATACCAAAATCCAATAAAATACTCGTGAGCATTCTCATGAGGATACTGGATTTTGTGTAGTGTGAATGGTATTATGGTGATAACGGTTACCGACTCGGAAATCCACCACCAGTGGTCAACTGGTATTCTGGCAACCACAGACCGCGGCGCGTTGTTCGCGATGGACTGGGTCGGGTAAACTTCAAAAACAATATGGCCGTCGCTCGAGCAGTGTTTTCAGTAATATTTCTACTTTATTTCGTGTTTAATACTGATGGACAGACTAACCAGAGTTTTGTCGATACTGGAAGTAGTTCAGGTGTGTATTAAACTATCGTTTTGTGTGGAATTTTGGAAAATGGAAGCACGAAAAATGTCTAGAAACATACATGATGTAAACAAAATTTAATGACATTACTT